CAGAATGAGCAATGGCCGTTAACGTGGTGATCCCGTTGCTTATCCCATTGGAGGAGAACCTTCACAACAGTAAGTACGTCACCTGTTGTTCTTGTTAAATTAAGGTGTGATGAGTGTAGCAGCCAACAGTAAGTGAAACCTCCACAAACAGCAAGTAGCTCGTCTCCTCCTGTTATTTCTCTGTTGCTGCCAACAGTATCTGGGGCAAAGATGGATGTCTTAAATCTAAACATTACCACCATAATTTTTATCATCAGCTTTTGCAAAGGTACGATGAATCACTCTTTCTTGAAGATGGTGGACGAGAGAGAGAGAGAGAGAGAGAGAGAGAGAGAGAGAGAGAGAGAGAGAGAGAGAAGCTTTGAGCCAGTCATATAAGCTGAAAGCATTAATCTTGGAAAGCTTAGAGCTGGTCTTGTAGGTCTTTTGTAGAGAGTTAAGTTCATAACCAAAAGAACCTGGGTTGGATTCCCGGCAGCGTACCGCTGAAGGGGGTTGGAGGTATGTTGTAAATGGAATATAATACCGAAAAGTTGATAATTAAGGCACATTGCGAAATGTTTCGCCTGCACAGAAGGATTCTTCGGTCAAATACAGAAGCTGTAATCATTCCATCAAGCTTGGAGAAATGGTATTTGAGGTAGTCAGTCCCTCAGCCTGGAGGTATTAATGATGGTCCCACGGCTGTCTTTGATGTTGTGTAGACAGCATGTGTAATGTCTGAAAGGTGAGGTGAATCCGCTTTGCTGCATCGTGATGTTGACCGACACACACACACACACACACACACACACACAGCAAAGCCCAGGAAAAGCTGAGAAGGGAAAATGACAGGCCACTGAGCCCAAATACAACAGATAGTGAAACTGAGGAAAGGAAAGCGGCAATGGAGGAAATTAAATCGAATCAGTGGATACATAGGGATATGCAGTGGGAGAATGATAAGAAGGGGTCTTTGTTTATGGGCTCCACGAAGTTGAAGGGGAAACTTACGAAGCAAGAAAACAAGGGGAAAAATTGAAATCGAAAGCATCATAATAGCAATAGATGACATGACCCAACTGGAAAATTTTCGGAGAATAGGGGGGTTTGCAAGAGAACACGGCCAGTGAAAGTGACTTTCAAGGCAGAATCGACTCGGAACAGGATCCTGCAGGAGAAAGCTAGACTAAGGGTCATGCCAGCATACCGGAAGGTGTATCTCGACTGCGACAGAACACAAGAAGAAAGGCAGAAACTGAGAGAGATGGTAAAAAGGCGATAGGAGGAAAGAGAGGAGAAGATGGACATGACAGGAGAACCCAGACTCAGGAGGAAGATCAAATACAGCCTCCCTCACAACTACCTACAGAAGCCCCCCAACCAGGACGACCTCAGTGCAACCAAACATTCTAACCCAAAACACACATGCCATATCCAGTGCCCCCACCCACCTCATTACAAACTCCACCCCCACAGCAACCACCCATAGTTCCTTATCAGGTCTCCCACTTCCCCAACCCCAATGTACCCCCTAGACCACAGTTTTAGAAAAGAAGTTGAAGGTGTGGTATACAAATGCAGATGGAATAACAAATAAGCGTGAGGAGTGGCATGAAAGAATCAAGGAGACATCCCCAGACATAATAACACTCACAGAAACAAAACTCACCAGGATGATAACTGATGCAATTTTTCCACCCGGATATCAAATCCTCAGGAAAGACAAAGGGAGGAGAGGGGGAGTAGGAGTTTCACTGCTCATTAAAAACCAGTGGGGATTTGATAAAATGGAAGGAATGGACGGCACAGGGGAAAGGGACTACTTAGTAGGAACAATCCAGTCTGAGGGCCATAAGGTGGTAATTGCAGTAATGTATAACCCACCACAGAACTGCAGGAGGCCAAGACAAGAATACGATGAGAGCAACAGAGCAATGGTCGACACACTAGCCAAGGTGGCCAGAAGAGCTCACATGGGGGAGCAAAGTTACTAGTTATGGGTGATTTCAATCACAAGGAGATTGACTGGGAAAGCCTGGAGCCCCATGGGAGTCCCAAAACATGGAGAGCCAAGATGATGGATATGGTACTGAAAAACCTCATGCGTCAACATGTTAGAGACATTACCAGAGAGAGAGGTGAAGATGATCCAGCAAGACTTGACCTTGTATTCACCTTGAGTAGTTCGGACATCGAGGATATCACGTAAGAAAGGCCCCTAGGAGCTAGTGATCATATGGTTCTGTGTTTTGACTACATAGTTGAGCTACAAGTGGAGAGAGTAGCAGGAATAGGATGGGAAAACCTAACTGCAAAAGGGGGGACTACTCAGGCATGAGGAACTTCCTGCAAGACGTTCAGTGGGAGAGAGAACTGACAGGAAAACCAGTACAAGAAATGATGGACTATGTGACAACAAAATGCAAGGAGGCAGAGGAGAGGATTGTTCCCAAGGGAAACAGAAATAATGGGAAGACCAGAACGAGTCCTCGGTTCACCCAAACGTGTAGGGAGGCAAAAAGTAGGTGTACTAGAGAATAGAAAAAGGTACAGAAGACAAAGGACTCAGGAAAATAAAGAGATTAGCTGGAGAGCCAGAAACGAATATGCACGCATAAGAAGGGAGGCTCAACGACAAAATGAAAATGACATAGCATCGAAAATGACATAGCATCTGACCCGAAGCTGTTGTATAGCCACATCAGGAGGAAAACAACAGTCAAGGACCAGGTAATCAGACTGAGGAAGGGTGATGGGGAGTTCACAAGAAACGACCGAGAGGTATGCGAGGAGCTCAACACGAGATTTAAAGAAATATTTACAGTGGAAACCGGTAGGACTCCTGGAAATCAGAACAGGGAGGTACACCAACAAGTGATGGATGAGGTACACATAACCAAGGAGGAGGTGAAGAAGCTGCTATGTGAACTTGACACCTCAAAGGCGGTTAGACCAGACAACATCTCTCCGTGGGTCATTAGAGAGGGAGCAGAGATGCTGTGGGTGTCACTAACAAAGATCTTCAACACATCCAGTGAAACTGGGCAACTCCCTGAGGTATGGAAGATGGCAAATGTAGTCCCAATTTTTAAAAAAAGGAGACAGACATGAGGCATTAAACTACAGACCTGTGTCACTAACGTGTATAGTATGCAAGGTCATGGAGAAGATCATCAAGAGGAGAGTGGTGGAGTACCTAGAAAGAAACAAGTGTATAATTGACAACCAGCACGGTTTCAGGGAAGGAAAATCCTGTGTCACAAACCTACTAGAGTTTTATGACAAGGTGACAGAAGTAAGACAAGAGAGAGAGGGGTGGAGAGACTGCATTTTCTTGGACTGCAAGAAGGCCTTCGACATAGTTCCTCACTGCAGTTCCTCACAGTTCTTTACTGCAAAGCTAGAGGCTCAGGCACACATAACAGGAAAGGCACTGCAATGGATCAGAGAATACCTGACAGGGAGGCAACAACGAGTCATGGTACGTGACGAGGTGTCAGAGAGGGCGCCTGTGGCAAGCGGGATTCCACAGGGGTCAGTCCTAGGACCTGTGCTGTTTTTGGTATATGTGAGTGACATAACGGAAGGGATAGACTCAGAAGTGTCCTTGTTTGCAGATGATGTGAAGTTAATGAGAGAATCAAATCGGTCGAGCATCAGGCAGGACTTCAAAGAGACCTGGACAGGCTACAAGCCTGGTCCAGCAACTGGCTCCTTGAATTTAACCCTGCCAAATGCAAAGTCATGAAGATTGGGGAAGGGCAAAGAAGACCGAAGACACAGTATAGTCTAGGTGGCCAAAGACTGCAAACCTCACTCAAGGAAAAAGATCTTGGGGTGAGTATAACACCGAGCACATCTCATGAGGCGCACATCAATTAGATAACTGCTGCAGCGTACGGGCGCCTGGCAAACCTAAGAATAGCGTTCCGATACCTCAGTAAGGAATCGTTCAAGACTCTGTACACCATTTACGTCAGGCCCATACTGGAGTTTGCAGCACCAGTTTGGAATCCACACCTGGTCAAGCACGTCAAGAAATTAGAGAAAGCACAAAGGTTTGAAACAAGACTTGTCCCAGAGCTAAGGGAACTGTCCTACGAAGAAAGGTTAAGGGAATTGGGCCTGACGACACTGGAGGACAGGAGGGTCAGGGGAGACTTGATAACGACATATAAAATGCTGCACGGAATAGACAAGGTGGACAAAGACAGGATGTTCCAGAGAAGGGACACAGAAACAAGAGGTCACAATGGGAAGTTAAAGACTCAGATGAATCAAAGGGATGTTAGGAAGTATTTCTTTAGTCATAGAGTTGTCAGGCAGTGGAATAGCCTAGAAAGTGACTTAGTGGAGGCGGGAACCATACATAGTTTTAAGACGAGGTATGATAGAGCTCATGGAGCGGGGAGAGAGAACCTAGTAGCAACCGGTGAAGAGGCGGGGCCAGGAGCTATGAATCGACCCCTGCAACCACAAATAGGTGAGTACAAATAGGTGAGCACACACACACACACACACACACACACACACACACACACACACATACACATACACACACACACACACACACACACACACACACACACACACACACACACACACACACACACACACACACATACACACACACACACACACACACACACACACACACACACACATACACTACACACACACACACACACACACACACACACACACACACACACACACACACAGCCACAGAGTAGTCAGTAAGTGGAATAGTTTGGGAAGCGATGTAGTGGAGGCAGGATCCATACATAGCTTTAAGCAGAGGTATGATAAAGCTCACGGCTCAGGGAGAGTGACCTAGTAGCGATCAGTGAGGAGGCGGGGCCAGGAGCTCGGACTCGACCCCCGCAACCTCAACTAGGTGAGTACAACTAGGTGAGTACACACACACACACCTCTGTTCACTTGACTGTTAAACCCTACACTACTTGTGTTTCACTTCGTTCGTACTGGTCTACACTGGTCCACACTGGTCCACATTGGTCCACACTGGTTCACACTGATTCACACTGGTTCATACTGGTCCACACTTGTTCACATTGATCTACACT